TACAATGGCTGACTATCAGTTAAGAGTATAATTCAAATATATTGGTATTTATTGATCTCTTTGAAATAAAGGAATGCAACTTTCTACAGTGTAAGTACTGGAAATAATGAACATTTGTGTATGTGGCTATTTATAAAAATCCTAATAAATTTCTGTACCCCAGTTAATGATTTCTTTGGTCAGGATGATTTAGTTTGGACCCAACATTCAGAATCGTTTATATTGTTAGTCCAACTATTGGCGGTCATTTTGAAATTGGCAGCCATTTTGAATTTTTCAAGAATGGGTTCATATCCAAATATGTTTATAAGCATTAAAACTACCACTATTCAAAGTTTCATGCTTTTACTATAGAGAGATAAATTATACAAATATATTGGATAAGTCTCTTAACTATTGGTCGCCATTTTGTTTTTCGCGGCTTAATAACCAAAAATGTTTTCATCATGATGACTATCACTGTGCAAAATTTTAGGCTTTAACTATAAAGGGATCACTTAAATCAACAGATAGGACTTAGCCTCTTGACAAATGGCGGCCTTTTTGAATTTCGGCGGCCATTATGGATTGTTTTTAGATAGATAAATAACTCAAAATGTTTTTTTATCATCATGACTATCACTGTGCAAAGTTTTATGCTTCTACTAAAAAGCGGTCACTCTAACCAACATGTAGGACTTAGCCTCTTGACATATGGCGGCCATTTTGTAATTGGCGGCCATTATGATTTTTTTTTAGATGGCTCCATATCCAAAAATGTTTATCATCATCATAACTCACAATTTGCAAAGTTTATGCTTTTACCATAAAGTGATCAATTGTGCCAAAATATTGGACTTAGTCGCTGGACTATTATAACGAGTCAACTGTTTATCTATTCTAGCTAAAATTTCTAATGTTATTGAAATTTACGCTTCAATGTCAATGAAGTATATAAGACTCATTTCTTATTTTAATCTATTTTCTTATTTCAAAACAAAATGTATTAAAAATATTAAAAAGCATTAAAGACAGGAAAATCATTTGTTTCAAAAGCTAGATATCAATTAAAATTGGGTAGGAGATCTGATTGATCAAATTGCAGCTTGGTACAAACGATACATATAAGGCTTTTGATATACTCTGAATCTTAATCATGTTAATAATACATTCTATTTTAACTGAACTATAAAGTGATGAATGCATACATATGTTTATTAAAAGTAAGTTACATTTCATCAAACTATTTCACCAAAGTAATCGAAATGCAATCGAAAAGTAATCGATGAATACTTTGAAAATGTTTCGAATACAGATTACTGTCAAATGTCTAGATAAACATTTAATCAATTACAATCGATTACGATAACAGATTACGAGTACCCCAACTCTGCTTTTAATCAATTATATTCCTAGAAATGTATAGGAGGTAATATCTGGTTATTTATCAGTTGTCGTATTACATTTATGTAACTGCATTTCTCGTATTCTTGGCTTAAGTATCCGTTGCCTGATCTGTAGTGTATTTTTATTTATTCAACGTGTGGTTCGTTTGATTTCAGTTCTCCATTGGTCAAAACTCAATAATGACGTCAGGTTTCTGTGCTTCATGTTCCGCGGTTATCGTTTTTTGGTGTGGTTCCTAAGTGTTTTCGTTTCTCGTTTTTTATATAGATTATAACGTTGGTTTTCCTGTAAAAAATCGTTTTACACAAATCATTTTTGGGCCCGTAATAGCTTGCGGTACGTTGTGAACCACGGCCACGTGTGAAGGCCGTACATGTAATTTGACCTATAATTGTTTACTTATACAAATTGTGACGTGGATGGATAGTTGTCTCATTTGTTCTCATGCGACATCTTCTAATCTATGTTTCTATTGTGGCCACACGAAAATCAATCATGCCCAATGACGTCAAGTAAAAGTAGCACATCATTTTAAAGATTATAAGAAAATGTGCATATCGCGTAAAAATCATAAAAACAAAACAGGTTATATCACTTAACTGCACGCAAAACCAATTCAATCCACTGTTGGTAATCACATTTCAAATATTTTAGACACCCAGCAATACTCTCTCTTTAAATTTAAAAATGTAACTGGCTCCAGAAAAAAATTATCGTACCACAATCGACACAGTTGGATATTTGGTCTGCAAACAAGGCTTAAAACATTGACGAAACTATCAAATAGTTAATATTTTCAAAAATGTGAGGTGACGTTTTCATAATGCATATATTTGATTGGTTGACTATGTCTTCTTGGGTCCGGAATATCAGGAGACGTCATCAGATAATACGCTTATTCAAACTTAACTCATTCCTAGAATATCGACTTCATGCAGGTTTAACCGTGCTTGTTATTACTCTTCTGGTCATGTATTGTATTAGTCGTCCTTTTAAATATATATCTTAATATGTCTGAATATTCATACTGTATTTTTTGGGCTTAGAATTGCTTTTATAATTGTTATTGTAAATTCAGAAATTAATGCGAGGATTTTATTAATGCGAATAATGCGACTGAAAGAGTATCGCATTAATAAGAACTCGCATTCTTATATCTGATACATATAACTGTATGTACATGTAATTCTAAGCCAAAAAAAAGACTAATACAATACATTCTTCGGCCGCTGTCCAGTATTTGACAGTATTTAGTAAGGGATATAAGCCGATAACAGTCCATCCTGTAGAATATTGGACAGCGGCCGAAGACCTGTTCAATAATTTACAGAGTGGACTGTTAGAGGCTTCTATCTTACTTAACAGATTGTTTAACACGCCAAAAAAGGTGAAAAAATGCAAGCAAAAACAAACTTTTGTTACGATTTATTTTCATCAAGTGTGAAAATTGTTTTGTATATAAACTTTCTTTACTTTAAAATTAGCATACATGTTGGTCCCTCTGAACAGTGGCTCAACTTAAACAATAAACAAACAGAAAGTACAGCTGAAGGTAAACCATTTGTATTGCTACATGACGAATAAGACACAGCGTGTGCGTATCATTATTTTTGCGTGTGCAAGGACTACTCTAAATATTGTCTGTGAACACCTTTATATGCGTTTTGTAATTAAAAATGGATAAAAGTATATTCTCAATGCAAAGAAAGTGATATCGTTAATAGTGATTGTGTTGTTTCAAACTTTGGATTAAAATCAAATGTGTATTCAGATATATCCGATTTCAGTGTGGATTACAAAGAGGATATAGTAATAGCAGCTAATTATGATAATGGCAAGTTTTATATATATATTATATTTCAAAATTTAGCAGTCTCCTTTTAGATGTTTGTTTCTTCTGGGGTTCTATTTCTTACTAGGTGAATTTAAAAAAAAAAAGAAAAACATGTGAAGACAGGTTCACGTTGAACCATTATCGAGAGCCCCGCAGTCGATTTTATTTCAGATATATAATTAATATGAACAAATGAAGAGATTAGAACGTGCAATCGTTTCAAATTATTTTGTTCATCGGAATTTTCAAGAGACTGGTTTCCCCAAAACGGTACTACCTGAATACTCCCTATTTTTTTTATTTTTTTCTGCAAGGTCGTGTCGCTCTTTTTTCGTATATTTGTGTTTTTTTCAATGTTACCGTCTCTCGATTTCCTTTTGCAAAAATACTCTTTCTTATTTTCTTTTATAACATAAAACGATCACTACGAACAAATTGCGAATCGGACACACGATTGATATGTTTAACAAAAAGCATGCGGAAACGTCTTCCTTTGTTCTGCTTCCCATATTAATCCTCGTTCATAAGCGAAGTGTTGCATTATATTCATATTCTAGCAATCACATCAGACTTAACATACAACAACTTGTAAATAAACGGCGAAACCTAAATGTATTTATTGATTAATTGTTGGTTGCTTAACGGCCAGTGGCAAATATGTCATGCATGTACAGGACGAAAAACCTAAATTTATAAAAAATATTGTAGTCCCCTAGTTCATGAAGCAAGTTCTAGATTTGCACTTTGTTCACAGGGTGAGGTTAAGTTTGATTATGAGCATTCTATTGCGGCATGCTCTATCATTCGTTAGAAGCATTACTTTTTTTTTCATTTTAATTGTAGCTAAAAATGATCATGATGATGTTGGGCGAATAAGAGCAACACCAGATGCCAATTTTGAAAACCAAAGACGGATGAACATATAAATCGTTTAAAAAAGAATAATACATAAAAGCAACAAAAACAAGACTAACAGAATTCAGGAGCCTGTAATTCAGACCGAGTGGTTGGCGTTTGTTTATGTATTACATTTTTGTTTTTCGTTAACTTTTTGTACATTAATTAGGCCGTTAGTTTTTCTAGTTTGAACTGTTTCGCATTGTCATTTCGGGGCCATTTATAGCTGACTATGCGGTATATGATTTGTTTATTATTAAAGGCTATACGGTGACCTATAGTTGTTAATTTCTGTGTCATTCTGGTCTCTTGAAGAAAGTTGTCTCATTGGCAATCATACCACACCTTCTTTTTTATATTAACAACGAGCATTATCAACCAATTGAACTAGTGCTAAAGTAGACAACCGTAAACATGAGAAAAATGGCTGTGATATAAGTATTGGGAGTGTTAAAATTAATTTGAAAGTGGTTTTTTTTTTCTCTCAAGAAACCGTTATGATGATTGACAAACCTATTGTTTGGAAGGTGACTTTTATACAATGTTTTTTTGGTAATTGTCATTTGTTCTTTGGTTGTATTTTTATACATGAAGAACAGAATTGACGGAATTGATGGTTTTTCTTCAGTGATTGGACTATCATTTACCTGTAAGAAACCATTATGCTACATTCAGCTGTCCAATATTGTTAAGAACGAGGAGGGCCGCTATTCTTTAAAATATTGGACAGTTAAAGGTAACATAATGGTTTCTTACAGGTAAATGATAGTCCATTCACTGATATAAAGAACGGGTACAACAATAGAATGACGTCACTACAATGTTTTAACTAGTAAAAACAAATGCATTTCTTGTTCTTGACAAAATGATGAGAAGTACTCACTGTTTAGTGCTTGAAATGAAAAATCACTGAGAATCAAATCCCATTCTCCTATTCTATTATTTTCAAATGCATTCTTAATTGTTTTTCGTAGTCCTTGTTCATCGTAATAGTGTCGTGATGTAAAAATTAGTCCCAAAAGCAAAGAACCTTCTCTGAAGAAAATGAAAGTAGTAACAATCAGATAAAGAGAATACTGTAAATAATATTTTTATGAGTTGGTACGAATATATGTGGATTGATTTAAAACAGTATTTTCGTTGATATTTAACTCATGGTTTATTAATATTAATTATCAATTTCCCATTTCTCAGCAGTAACATACCCTCTGCCCCTTCTTATGATGTTTACATATCTCAATTGATACGTTATTCTCGTGCTTGTTCACACTATACGGACTTCATATACAGGAGTGTGCTCCTTACGCAGAAACTGCTCCAACAAAGTTATGAGGAGGACAGATTAAAAATGACACTCCGTAAATTTTACGGACGCCATCACCAATTGGTTGATCCATACGATGTGTCTTTGTCCAAACTAACTAAGGACATTTTTACCACGTGTTAGATTGTGGTTTGTCATTACGTCGTCTGATCTTTTAATTACCGAACGTGACTTATTCCCGATTGTGACTTTTTTGCTGAGTGTTAAACCGCATTGCTATAAGACGTGTCACGGTACCTTTCTATCCCAAATTCATGTATTTAATTTTGATGTTATATTTGTTGTTCTCGTCGGATTTTGTCAAATGTCTTAACGTCTTTTCTGTTATATTCGTGTGTTATGGTAAAGATAATTAATCACCTCCTTCATTTATTAGATTTTAGTTTGGTTCAACGAAATTTATACGATATATTTGGTTTACAGTTTGATTCAGAAGAAACACCGACATAGCTAGATAATACATTTAATTATCTAATTACAACCATTTGATATTAATAAGTATTGTAATTTTCATTGTTATTAATAAATGTAATGTCAGTATTACAAATCTAATCTTTAATCAATCCTAATCCTATCTTATTTTTGGGAAATATTTTTACAAATTCAAATGGACGTCACTTTGTGTGTTTATTTAAAATTTCAAATGTGACGTCACTTTGTGCGTTGAGGCTTTGGCTTTGGCTAACTCGGCCGTGTATTTTTTTATGTGTTGGATTAAGTTGTTTTATGTAATGTATCCGTTTAAATTCTGTAGTTAGTCCCCACTTTGGTTTTATCATGTATATCTATTATATAGTCATTTTATCAAATTTACTGTATGCAAAATTATAAATTATTCTAAATAATGAGGATGTTCTTGTCCCAGGCAGAAAAACCCTGGCCGTGTTAGGCGCAACCTTTTGGAAGTTTTGGTCCTCGGTACTCTTCAGCTTTTTTCTTGTTTTGTCTTTCAAACTTTTTTCATCTGAGCGTCACTGGTTGGTCATGTGTGGACGAGATGCAGGTCTGGCGTATTGCATTTTAAGCCTAGTACCTTTTGTTAGCTATTATTCGTGTGTTTCTTTGTCTTATATGTTCTCCCATTTATTTGTATTGTGGCCCTGTCATGTGATGTTGTCGTTTTGGTGTTGTGTTTGACGTTGCCATAAAAGCGGGAGGTTTGGCATGCCACAAAACCAGGTTCAACCCACCATTTTTTTCTTAAAATGTCCTGTACCAAGTCAGGAAAATGGCCTTTGTTATATTATAGTTCGTTGTGTGTTACATTTTAATGTTGTGTTTTTGTTGTGTCGTTGTTCTCCTTTTATATTTGATGCGTTTCCCTCAGTTTTAGTTTGTAACCCGGATTTGTTTTTATCTGTATCGATTTATGAGTTTTCGAACAGCGGTATACTACTGTTGCCTTTATTTAACCAGTCTATAAGAAGCTTAGTGCATATTCTTGGCTTTCCCTTATCCATAAAGTTCACGAAAAAAATGAAACCACACTACTTGAATTCGATTGGTTTTTTTTTCAAATCAATGCAGTTTTATCTTTATGTCGGGAAATTGTTCTTAGCTGTTTACAATACATGTGTATGTACATAAAATCGAAGTTTACATTGATGTAGTGTATTCTTGTTGAAACATTGTATTATATTGGTAAAGTTACGGTAATATCCGATCAAAATTTCAAAAAACTCATAAACATATTTTTCATTAATTTTCAAGATAGAATCGACAATCATTAGTACAGTCAGACCAGTCCCGTTGGTTTATTTTGGTGAAGTTTTAGAACTTTGAAAAAAGATAATAACGATATAAAAGTCACATAATTGAAAGAACTTGCAGGAATGTAAATATTATATATTATTTTTCAACGATCTTGCTTGTTATCAAAAAGTATAACATTAACATGTGCGCTTTACAAAAGAAAAAAAAAATCCTTATATATATCGATGCAATGTTTAAGTTAAAAGACATAAACGGAATAAATGTCTATCTGATGTTCAGTGGTTGTCGTCTGTTTATGTGGTTCATAAATGTTTCTCGTTTCTCGTTTTTTTATATAGATTAGACCTTTGGTTTTCCCGTTTGAATGGTTTTACACTAGTAATTTTTGGGGCCCTTTATAGCTTGCTGTTCGGTGTGAGCCTAGGCTCCGTGTTGAAGGCCGTAACTTGATAATGGTTTACTTTTATAAATTGTGACTTGGATGGAGAATTGTCTCATTGGCACTCAAACCACATCATCCTATTACTTTGTTGTTTTATAGTTTTCAATTATAATATTTATATATAAATACCGTATATTTATATCAATAATGTCCTGATCTCCTGGTGCATTTTTGGTCCCGTTAACAAAAATATCTGGAATTTTCTTAATAATTGATTCAAGTTTTTCAATTTTTGCATGCATGCGCCTGTTGTTTATTATTTCTAAAGTCATATCAGCGTGGTAAGCATCTGAATGTAAAGCAAGAGTGTTACATATAGTAAACAAATTTATGTTTTCAGATACATATTGAGATAAACAACAAAACTTCAAATGTATATTTACTGATTTAACTCAAATGTGTATCTTACTATAGGTACATCTATATCCAAATTAAATAGCCCAAAAAGAACCTTTGAACAATGTATTGAATTTTATAATGTACCGACATTTCGTGTTTTATTTTATAGATAATACAAGCCAATGATACATCAGAGATGTATAGTCTATATCAACTAGTAGTTTTAAACAAAATGTATGTTTTACAATGATGAATAAACTAAACTTACGCTCTCCAATATATCTACGTTCAAGCGGTTCACTTAACAATTTTTTGCAACAAGAATAAATTCTAAAACAGTAGATTGTGTGCTGCGCTTTTTCAATTTTATATTCATTAGTTTCTGCTGAGAGCTCTATGGTCTTAACAGAATCTAGTACAATATCCAACTTGAATTTGTCGACATTGAACAAAGAGTCACGTGGACTTGACCACACCAATGTAATAGTACCATTCCTGCCATCTATTTCGAAGTTCTGAGGTTGTTCTGGCACTATAAAAAAATATTGTGTATATTGTATCTATTTGCACAATTGTCATATTTACTTTCCAGAAAAAAAAGGTTTCTAAGTATTTTATTTCAATTTTAATATAATCCATTCAAATATTGCCCTTTATTTTCTTTGTCATTCTATGTAGCGTTTCGTCGTATTTTATGTAGTTTATTAAAATTGCGATCCTTTAAGGAATATTCGGGATTTTATTCATGTTTAGTTATTTTCTTAGTATCATTTGGCTGACAATACTTTCGTAAATATGCATAATATATTAGCCACTGGGCGTATAAAATGTAGGAAAAACAAGAATTCAACCATTTATTCCAAGTATCATCGTACTAGCATGTACTGTTTTCAAGGCAATAACAAACTGCCAAAAGCTTGAAAGAGTTTACGGCCATAGTAATTTCAACAACCAAGACCATACAAAATAAACGAGATTATAATGTGTCATAGTCAGTATCGGTTAAATCATTTTAAACTTAACATTTCTTATAGTAGGGGAATCAGTTACTGACAATCGTTCTCATAAAAATATATACTAGTCAAACAAGAAAACTTTACACGAATGTCATATAATATGATTCTTAAGATAGAAACATTATTTGATAAACGATGAACAAAAACTAAAGAAATAAACCTCTATAAAGATAAAGACACATTAAAATAGGACAACTTGGTGACATTGATTCAGTCTCTGATAAAACGTCTCATTCAAAACCTGAAACACTGCTGGAATGATCGTCCAAAGTCCGTTTTCAGAGACAAAGAGGCTGTTAAATGTCTACCACCCCTTCATTTGTATGTTATTGTTCCTGCGAAAAAAAAGCTTCAAATAATATTGTCATTGTATGTATATCAGACTTCTACAAGTGCCGTGTAACAGAATTGGAAATAAATGAGCACTTAGGTAATCCAATACACAAACATGCTGTCCGCTGTGAAAAAAGGGTCTTTAGAAGTACTGTGAAACTGTTCAATCAAGAAATGCTATTAACCATATGTGGATTTTAAAAAACTTCTGGATAATTTCAAATCTCGAGCTTTTTAATCAAAACTTTTGATTTTTCAACCCTGTATACCATCTAAAAGAAATAATCAAAATGCTTTTCAACACAAAAATGGTAGCAAACACTATATATTAATTACCTAGGGAAACAATTCGACATATTTTTTAAAAGTGAACAAAAAGGTAAAACATGCTACTCAGAGGAACAAGTGATAGGTAAGCTGGAGTTTCTTATTGACAACTTAGTTATTGAATTTAGAGGAAGAGTTTTTTAAAGAAATGTAGGCATTTCTATGGGAACGAACTGTGAGCCTCTTCTTGACAACATTTTTTTTATTTTAATGAGTCGGTGATCTACTAGACACTTGTCGAAAACGAGAAGATTAAAGACGCCAGATCGTTTAATTTCACATTTAGATATATTGAGGATGTTCATTCTATTAACAGTCCAAACTTCAAACTTTCTGTTTTGATTCAACTAATATATCGCCAAGTACTAGACATTAAAGAAACACCAGACACGGTTTCCACTAGGTAATTTTTAGACTAAAAGCTCGAATTTGACATAAGCGGTCATCTCAGTACAGGAACTATGACAAACGAGACGATTTTAGTTTTGAAATTATTAATTTCCTCAACCTTAGTCGCATCACTAAATTAACCTGCACATGGGTTATATATTTCACAACTTATGCCGTATTCAAGAGCTTGCAGCTGCTACTTGGACTTTGTAAAACGTCACCATTGTTTGAGTACAAAGTTGATGAGTCTGGGGCATACAAAGAACGTCCCGTCTTTTTTATAAATATTTTCATGGAAAAGTAGCAAGACCTTTTTGATAACTATTTCGTATCAACTTCACAAATACTACATGATGGTCTTGAAATATATACTCTGGGTACCAACGTTGTTATACAATAGGTGTTATAGTATTCTTTTAATTGTATTTATTAATTTCACTTTTTAGTCTGGGTTTTTTTTTTGTGATATCCGTTTGACGTGGCTCTATACTTATATATCCTTCATTTCGTTGTTATGCTATACACAATTGTTGTATTCTTGTCTTTAATTTTGTGTATGTGCTGTGTCTTTTTTTCCTATACAATAATGACTGTTGTACCCCTATTTTTGACCTTTTTACCAATCATATCAGTTTGTCAATATAATGGACTTGTATGTGACTGCCATACAAGTGAGAGGTTTAGCTAGCCATAAAAACAGGTTTAATCCACCTTTTTTTACATAAAAGCTATCCTATACCAAATCAGCAATATGACAGTTGTTATCCATTCGCTTGATGTGTCTGACCTTTTGATTTTGCCATTTGAATATGAAGATTTCAATTTGAATTTTCTTCGGAGTTGAGTATTTTTGTTACTTAAATGTTTGCTCCTTTCAATGGACGGCGTGCTTCAAAGTTGGATAGTTAGATCTGATACTCTGTTGTTGGCTCTCTATGGTATACGCCTGGTTGTGTCTTCTGTAGTCATGACACAATTGCACAGGTACAATAAATACATTCATCTGTTTTGTCGTAACGTCTATCATCGAGGTCTTCCGAGTCAATAGATAGGGCGGATTGTCTTAGTCCTTCACTCAACAAGCTACAAGTCTATCATTTACAGTTCTAGAGGAATAAAACCTAGATGTATTGCTTGTTCCCTGGCCCGTTCCCTTTAATTCTGTATGTTAAATTATATCGTTGTCAAATTCTCTTTTTCTTAACTGATTTAAGGATGTTTGCTACTCTGTTTCAAAATAACAAGCTTTTAAAAAGACTGTTATAAATTGATAGTATATAAAAAACGGAACTAAAAAAGCAGAAAAAAATGAAGGGTCCGTGTGCTTGTTTTTGAGATATAGGCCGTTGAAAATTTGGCGGGAAATGATTCTCTCTAGATTGTTCATACTATTAACATTGGCACTTTTTTTCTATCGAAAACTATGAAAAAATAACAAGGAATTTACAAGATTTTCAAATATGGCTTTTTAAACTTTATGTTATAAAATTATGAAAAGAAAAGTAAAGCTTAGTGGGCAAAATTGTTAATTGAACTACATGGATAAAACCAGAGGATTCCGAATATCTGACAAAAATTCAAAAAAAGAGGAGCGAAATTCCTTAAACAAAATAGTATGATCTTTTTTGACTAGTATACAATTCAAAACATTTTCACGTATGAACTGATCATCTGTTATAGTGTACCATTGATAAATGTTAAACAAGTTTTGTCATACATTCTTAGAAATAATATTAAAAAAATTGGTGGCATATTGGAATTTAAATCAAAGATGCTTTCAAAGTAGTCGAATTAAGAGGTCATTATTTGTAAAATATATTTACCTATTATCATGATTATCTAATAACTTTATAATTGCAATGTGAAGTATTAATCTTTATGGTTTTAAATTTTAATTTACGATTACTAATTGAAAAAAAAATCGTCCTTTAAACGATAAAGATAAAAGAGGACAGATTTAAAAAAAAACAAACTAAAACACTAAATAAAACTAGATTAATTGCAATAACTTAAATTGCATATCTTACTCCCGGTGTCAAATGTTTTGTCCTCACTCTGTATGCTTTCTTCTGAATTTGAAGTGTATGCTGATATCCTAAATCTGTAAGTTGTTCTTTGATCAAAGTTTATTCTATCTGACGTAACATAAAAACACAGATTCGCAGCACCTTCAACTGTAAAAGGTTTGTTTCCCCATGTTGAATTGTATGCATAGTATATACGGTATTCTTTTATATCATCTGACCCTTTCCTGGGTTTTGACCACGTTAATTTTAAACTCGTATTCTCTCTTGTAACGTTAACATTATATGGTTCGCCTGTGAGTACAAAGAATAATCATAAACTTATATATCACAGCAAATAGTGGCTATCATATACACTTGCATAACATGCGTTTGGTAATAAGAGTCCTTCAATTCGAATGTTCGGAGATTATGATCATTAATTGTTGATTCACATAATTTAAACAGACTAACACACAAAGTATGTATTAATCATATGATGTACCCTTGAAACCTGCAAACAACAATGATGTATATGTAATGAGCGTGGTCTGTCTGATTTGGAATATTTTCGAAGAAGATCTTTTCAAAATGATAAATATAAATTAAACATTGTACGATGCTATGGCTAAGAACTGAAAATGACACTACGTGAATGATCATTTCAACCTCATGAATTGCTTGGCCATATTGGCGGGACAATGTATTATCCTTAAAAAAACATATTGTCTCAGACTTATAAAATTGAGATACCAGAATTGCGTCACTTTTAGTTTAGTCAATTGTTTTATTCATTTTTGATGTTGGCATATTACTGAATGCATATTGACAAAGAAGATGA